CCCCATTTTTTGTTGATATTTTGTTGTTGTTGTTGTTTTACAATGTGGGAATGAACCTAGGGCCTCATACATACTAGACAGCGGAGCTCTACCACTGAACTAGTCCCTAGCCTGATGACCCCATTTTTAAAAACATTTTGTAAAAAAAGTGTTCATGCGGTTGGTTGAACTCTGGATACAGATACCAATATCATGTATGAATCATTGGTGGCTGAGGAATCAGTGAACATAAAAGCACAGGGATCTGGTGGAGTAACTTCAAATGGTTAGAGCACCTCTTGGCAAGCGTAAGCCTGAGTTCAAACCTCAGTAGTGCTCAAAAGAGGGGGGGCACAGCGGATGCAGTTAAGCCAAATCTAGACTATTTATTGATTTATTTGAAATAGGATCTCTGTCTGTTACTCGGCTAGCCTTGTGGGCTCAGTCTTAACAGTCTCCTGAGTAACTGGGACTTTATAAGGGAAAAGAGGATGGAGAGATGTAGCTCAGTGGTAGGGTGGTTGTCCTAGCATATGTGAGGTCCTGGTTTCAATCCTCAGCACTGCAGAATAAAAGGGCAAAAGACTGATTTCTTCCATAAATCAATAGGAAAGGTAAAGAGGGAAGGGAGCGTCTATAGACTAAAGACAAATCAAAACCTATTGAAACGTGTGTACCTCACTTAAATCTATTATAGAGAAATGTTAGGGAGAAGGAATTTACAGATATGATATGTAAGACATATCAGACAATTGCATCCTATTTGAACTAGTTTTTGGAAACATGTAAAAATAATTTATAAGACAGGGCAATTTGAACAATGACCAGATTTTTTTTTTAAGGAAAAGTAACAGAATTAATTACACTGTTAAAGGAAATGTACCAGCCAGGCAGACAGCATGGGGTGTTGCTGCACCAATATGGGGTTGGGAGCAGCTTTTTATGAGGTTACTGGGGATTTTTTTCTGGTGGCTGTTTCTTTTTTGTGGGCCTTGCTGATTGTTCTCCTTCTTGGAGCAGGGTTTGCATTATGTGCATGGGACCATTTTTTGTGTACTTGGCCTCTATTCCTCATTACATGAAGTAAAGGCGAAGGAAAAGAGTCACCTACAGCATACTGTGTGTGTGTGGAAGTGTGGACATGAAAAAGATAGGACAGACAGGCTCTTTACCCTAGGGCTATAGTAGTGTGAAAAAAGAAAGCTAAAGGGACCATAACCCTATGCCCTCATACAGGTACCAAAAATGACATGGATTTGGGTCGATAAAAGAATCTACCAAGACAAATAAGTATGAAAAATAAGAGGTTTATTAAGACCAGCTGGCCCAGATGTTTCTTTTGGTTGTACTGGGATTCGAACTCAGGGCCTTATGCTTGCTAGGTAGGTGCTCTACCACTTGAGCCATACCTCTAGCTTCCAGACATTTTTTGATATTAGAAAATTACTGTTAATATTTTTAGGTATGGTAATGGTGTTGTGATTTTAGTTTTTTAAAAAATCTCTATATGGTTCTCAGCAGAGGTTCTCATGGGAGAGTGGGTATTTTGTCTTCCAGGGGACATTTGTCAATGTGGGAGACACTCTTGTCACACTCTGGGGTGGGAATTATTGGCATCCAGTTGCTAGATCCAAGAATGCTGCTGAACATCCTACAATGCATAGGACAACCCCACAACAATGAATATTCCAAATTAGAATGTTGGTAGGCTTGAAATTCAGAAACCTGTGTTCGAGATACATGCTGAATATTTGTGGATAAAATAATATGTCTGGAATTTGTTTTAAAATTGACAATTTCAGAGTTAGGGGATAAGATGGCACAGTACTGGGTATGTGAGATAAGTAATAGGTACACTGTTCTTTATATTTTATTTGAGTTTATGTAAGAATGGGACGTAGTTAATTTTTGTTGTTATTTTTAGATTTTTTAAAATTTATGTATTCACATGTGCATACATTGTTTGGGTCATTTCTCCTCCACCCCACCTCCACCCTTCCCCCCCCTTACTTTTAGATTTTATGATGGAAAATTTCACAGCAGAAATAAAATAGTAAATGCTCCCTCATGTAGCCATCACCAGTTTCGACAAGTAACAGTCAATCATCAAAACTTGTTTCATGTGTACCTCAACACATTCTAATAAATTCTGGTCATATCATTTCATTGTTATATTGCAGATTGTGCCTATAATCCTAGCTACTCAGGGGGCAGAGATCAAGGGATCATGGTTTAAAGCCGCCCAGGCAAACAGTTCACGAGACTCTTATCTTTGATAATACCCAACACAAAACAGGGCTGGTGAAGTGTCTCAAAGGGTAGAGTGCCTGTTTAGCAAGCATGAGGCCCTGAGTTTCAAAAACCCAATAATCCACGAGTACGATAAAAATAAATAAACAAAAACCTATATATTGGCAGATTGTAATCTCTAAAAATCTATAAGTCTAGGATATAAATAAGACGGCTTAAAAATTACTTAGGAACCATTACTATGATTCTCAAAAAATAATCTTAATGCAGGATTGGTTTACTGTTACTATACCTGATTGTCTTACACACCAAAACACAAGCATATATAACACATTCTCTTGTGATTTGCTTGTCTGAATTGGAATCAAATAAGATGAATTGATTGGCCGGTAAGGAAATGAGTAAAGCCACTACTCATTTATCTCATTTAATCTATAGGACTTCACCTTCCTTCAGTTCTTTCTTCTTCTTGCAGTGTTTTTTCGTTTGCAAAGCTGAGGGTGAACCTAGGAATGGGTGTGTAGCTCAGTGGTAGCGCACCTGCCTAGCATACAGGGGCCCTGTAAGGCTCTACACTGAGCAACATCCCCATCTCTTGCAGTATTTTGTTGTTGTAGAAATTGGCTTGTTTTTTCTGAAGGATGTTCCCACATTCCTAGACTCAAGCAGTTCTCCTGCCTTAGCCTCGCGAGTAACTGGAATTATAGGCACATGCCATCACACTTGACTTTAAAAATTATTGATGAGATATTTGACAATCTTTTTTTGTGCTAAGCTTCAAAATCCACTATGTATTTTACATCTATAGCACATCTCAGTTCAGTTGCTAAAATTTCCTCAGAATACTTGATCTGTATTTAGATTTCCTAAAATTTACAGTTGAAAAGAAGACCCCATATACCCAACTTGTTCCATATATATTTAATTTTTTTTTTCAGTAACAGAATTGAGGTCTGGTTTTCAATTTAAATAAGCTAAAATTCCATGAAATGAAGATTTTAGGAAATGGGTGTGTAGCTCAGTGGTAGCGCATCTGCCTAGCATACAGGAGGCCCCGTAAAGCCCTCCTCACCCCTCTACGACGCACACACACACCACACACACACACACACACACACACACCACACCACGAAGACTTTGTTTCCTCATTCACACTAGCCACATTTCATGTGTTATTAGCTCTCTATGACTAGTGGTGACCATATTGGACAGCACAGATCTAAAGGCTTGATTAGATTCAAATTTTTAAGATTGGCTTGGTTGTTGTGGTTGTGACTACTTCACCAGTGGTATTCCATCAGAAAATATTTAGTGTCTGGTTGTGGTCTTTGTATGGTTCACAGCCATGAAGAGTCATTGCCTACGTCGCCATTGGGGGTTGCAAAAATCATCTTATTCTTAATTTCTTTGTTATTACCGAGAATACATTAGAGAGATACTTCCTCTCATTATTTGGTAACCTGAGGTAGTTTGTGTAGAAAAAGGCTGGGCATACATGCTTGATTCTTTCCCATTATTCATCGATTATAAAATTAGTTGATTCCTTGACCGTCTCAAAGATTTGTCCACTAGTTGTTTTTGTAATCATATGAATTTATGAATTTAGATAACTTTAGTTTGTTTCAATCTCTTGTATTTTCATCCTTGGTGCTCTGGTTATTCCATCTTTGGTCAGTGGAATGCATTTAGGTTGGCTTCTGAATCATTTGACACAACTGTTATATATAATCTTTGTCATCTTCCTTGCTTTCTGATAGATGTCAGGCTCATCCTTTACATTTCTCACCCCAGACCTGGAATCATCCATTTCCACTAAGAAGCTGTGACTTTTTTTTTAGTGGGAACTGCTGTTATTTAGCAACTACCATCTGGATACTAGAGTGCTCATGACTGCTGTGTTGGTTGTGTTTCTAGAACTTTTCAGTAGATTGAGCTACTAAATGCAGTTTTATTTGAAGGAAAAATACTCCTGAGTTCATATTGATACTTTCAATAAAATTATAATTTTCAGTCAGGTGTGATGTGTGGCAGTGAACACCTTCAATCCCAGCTACTTGGCAGGTGGGGGTTGGAGGATCTTGGTCCACAGATGACCTGGTAAAACATAAGACCCTATCTGAAAAACAAATTAAAGCAAAAGGGACTGAAGTTATGGCTCAAGTGGTAGAGCACTTGCCTAGCAAGCTTGAGGCCCTCAGTTTTAAACCTCAGACTTCAAAAAAGTTATTTTCACAGTTTAAACATCATTGCCTTTATCTTTACATCTCCAATTTTTCTTAGAAACCTGGGTTCTAACAACACTAACATATTAACTATATCCAACTCTATGTAATAGTTTTGAAAATCATATTTAGATGTTATTTGGTAATAATTTGATTATCGAGTGTAGTTTTAAATAGTTGACAGTTTCCTTGACAATATGTCTAGTTATGTTCCTATGTTTTAATGTAATTTGAAAGAATTCTCTTGAGTATTTAACTAGATAGGTTAAAGACAGTTAAGTTTCTTTGTTTTTATTTTGTTTTCAAGTTTGCTTTTTTTTTTTTTTTAGCGTTTGACTTTCCCCATACTTAATTTTGAAATGTGTTTAAACTTATAGAAAAGTTGAAAAGTAGAACAATGAACACCAAACATATGTCTTTTCACTAGTGAATATTTTGCTACATTTTCTTTCTCTCCCATCTTTCTTCCCTGTCTCTCTTCACTCCACTACATGGACATCTTTTTTTGCTGCACCTTTCGAGAAAAAGTACAGACATCAAGATTTTTCACCCTGAGTTGAAACCCCAGTACCCAAAAAAAAAAAAGATTTTTCAATCCTAAATACTTCAGCATGCTAAGAACAAGGGATTCTACATAACCACAATTCTATATTGCACTAATGAAAATGAATAATTATTTCATGATATTTACTGTTCAATCCATATTTGAATTCCCCTTAGTAGTCTAAAAGTTTCTTGCAATTTCTTTCTTCTTTTTTAAACTAGCATCTGGTCAAGATTTAAACATTGCTTTTTTTGGTTGTTACATTTCTTTTGTTGCGTTTAATATGGAACAGTCTCTTCACCTTTTTATTCATGGCATTGATCTTTTAAAGAGTCTATGTGAATTATCTTGGAAAATGTCCCACCTTGTGGATATGTTGGGTTTTTTTGGTCTTTTCTTTTTTGGTGCCAAGGATCAAACCCAGTGTTTTGTTCAGGCTAGGCAAACACTCTACCACTTAGCTACATTCCAACCCCTAATGGTTTCTTTATAATCTTGTCTAACCTGTTTTTCCCATCCCGTATATCCTATAAATTGGAAATTTGTTCTAGTCTGGAGTCTCAGTGGGATTCAAGTTAAAATCTTTTGACAGGAATGCTGTTATAGCCAAACGTAGTGGTACATGCCTGTATCTTAGGAGGCAGAAGCAAGAGGATCCTGAGTTCAAATTCAGCCTGAGCAGTGATACCTGGTCTCTGTAAAAACAGCACTGGGATGTAGCTCAGTGATAGTGCCATTGACTAGCAGTGCAAGACACTTGGTTTTATCTCCATTCCTCTGGGGGATAAAAGAAAGGAACACTACATTGGTGATGCATTACTTGTATGTTGCATCTCACTAGGATGTGCACCATATCATGATTTGCCCATTATTAGTGATGCAAGTTTGATGCATAGTTAAAGTGTCAAAAGAGCATACACTTTTTTTGTTGTTGTTTTTGAGAGCAGGGTCTCTCACGATTATAGTCCAGAGTGGCCTTGAACTGGTGATCATCCAGACTCAGCCTCCCTGGAGCTGGATTACAGGTGGGAACCACTATGCCCAGCTAAACATGCATTTCTACCTTTCTCATAATTCGTAAATATCTTTAGGATGCTTTGGGATCTTGTGAACAATCTTGTTCCCCGATAATTTTTTATCCCAGTGTTTTTCATATTTCAATTTATTTTTTTATTTTTTTTTTGGCAAACTGAAGTTTGAACTCAGGCCTCATACTTGCAGCAGGCACTCTACCACTTGAGCACTCCACCAGCCCTTAATTTTGTTTTATAATTATATGACATTTTCATGTGGTTCTGAAATTAAAAGTATAAAACAAAGTAAATGAAGAAACTCTAGCTTCTGTTTCTGTCCCCTTCTCTTTTTCTGTAGATCACCCTTTAGTTAGTTTTTGATTATCCTTTTCTTGTTCCAGGTTTAAAATACAAGTACATTTGAATGCGAATATATTCAGTATTCCCTCCACCTTCTCTTTATTAAAAGATAGTATACTATTGTATGCCTTTCATATTTCACTTAAAAGCCTATCCTAGAGAGCACTCACAACTATGATATAGATTTTCAGAAGGTTTTCTAAATGTAAATAAGTTCATGTCCTTCTTGTTCTTTAAATCATTCAGTGGTCTCCATTGGGATAAGTCTAAACCTTGTAAGATCTTTCATAACCTGTTTCTTTTGTCTATCCACCCTCGTTCTCTTCCTGTGCCCTTCCCCGGGACACTTGTGTGAGTGTACACATGCATGCATGTAGACACTAATGATAGTGCTGTGTTGATTTTTATTTTTGTCTTTTGAGTTTATTAAAGCTGATTACTCTGAATTGTTTTTAAATTTAATAATAAATTAGCCATGAAGAACAACCTCCTCACCCCCTGCACAACACCACCCAGGTTTTGCCTGTGATGCTTCAGCTGGTAGAAGACTATTTTCTCTCTCTCCTCAACATTCATTCTCGTGACCTCAAGCTTAACACACATTCCCGGGAGCCTTTCCTGGCACCAGGTCTGAGTCTTGGATGTTGGTACCCTTTTGTATGATTCAAACACTTGTCTTGGTATGGTTGTTTTGAAATTCATTCAACCTACAGTATGCTGGTTGTTTACTTACAAGTGTTCCTCTGTTAGCCCACTGAGCTCAGTGAACTCAGAAACCGTGGCTCACAGGGCATGACAGACAGCCTCAGTGCCTAGCACTTGATTGGCATTCAGAAAATAGTTATTGACTGAAAGTGGCAATAGCTGTAAGACTTAAAGCCAAAATTGCTGAGATGTAGTGATCTAAGCAGAAAACGTGAGTTGCCTTAGTTATTGTGGAGCTGTAAGTGGAGTCTAGAGCAATCTGTGTGGGAGCCTCTAGGTCATCGTGGCATGTGTTGGCTCATGGCCTGGACTGAGAGCTAGAAAAGGGCACTACCAGCTGCTCCTCCAGAGACAGATTTGCACGGCTTTGGGGAAGTGCTAGAAGTGAGATAACGGTGTTAGCCTATAGTTTCCAGTGATCATGGAACATTATTGTGGGTTAGATTTTGTGGAAGAAGCTGAGCTAGAGTAAAACTTGTCTTCCTTCCATATGGGAGCAGGAACCCTTATTCCATCAATCATCTCAGGGGGCCTGGGCCTGGAGGCCAGGACCTCCTTACTGTTGTTGGGTCTGGGGTCATAGGATGCACAGGCCGAGGAAGAGATCAAGCAGGAGATGAACACACTGCAGCAGAAGTTGAATGAGCAGCAGAGTGTGCTTCAGCGGATTGCTGCCCCCAACATGAAAGCCATGGAAAAGCTGGAAAGTGTCCGAGACAAGTTCCAAGAGACCTCAGATGGTAAAATTTGCATTTTTTCTAGGGCCTTAG